CCCTTTGTTATAGGACAGGTCTACCTGGACTTTCAAATGTAAATTCTCCTGTGAGAATGTTTTCCTCAAGGCCAAGCATCTTCCACTGGCTATGTGACGTAACCCTCAGCCCTTCACTATCTAGGCCTCCTTCTTCAACATCCTTAGTCGGCCGTCTTCATCATTGCCTCTTACTGAGAAAACCCAATGTTATTGTTGCCCTAATCACTCTGAAGTAATCATAGAAATGCGAGACTATCATTCAACTCTCTTTCAAACTCGGTAACCCAGGAGTTTTATCCCCTTGCTCTTGAGAGACTAGAAGGCTTACAAGGATACAACGTGAGGTGGATGGTGGCAGGTCTGTGTGGCTGTCAGGAATATCAGAGAGATGTTGGGAAACTGAGTCACAAATCTGGAGCTCTTCTTCCTAGGATTCACCACTACTGAATAGACCATGAGCCCTGATCTGTTTCCTTTTATGGGACATACAGGAGCTGGACTCAACAGTTTCTGAGGCAAACATCTAGTCAGACAACTGTCATTTTGATATCAGCTGTAGCCCTTCTGTTGGGATTGGGGTGCTTCCTTATCACATACCCATTCCTGAGAACATGCCCCAGAGTGGCAAAGTGTCTTAGACAAGAAAATTAAGAGCTTCAATGAGTTCAAAAGTGTTTCTTCTCTGATTAAGTCTAACAGTTTCCTTAGCTACATGACTGGTGTGTTTTATTTTTCTCAAAGGAAGTGCTATAGAAATGGTCAGCATGCTGAATCACTGCCACTCAAAGTGGGCTGTCTGTGAACTGTTTCTTACCAGGCCTTGGAACCATGACTACAAAGATAAAAACCCATCACTTGGAAACTGTGAGACAACTCTGCCATTGCTGTGTCATCCTAGAGACATTTCATTACCATATTAGTTTATGATTTCTGCCTGCTGTGTAGGTATTAGTTTGCGTCATATGTGGAGTAATCTTGCTCACTGTCAAATGGTTGAGAATAGTGATTTAAGACTAGCTTTCATAGTACCAGAAGGTGCTACATAAGTTGCTAGGGGAAAAATTATGGACAGTCTTACTCAGCTGTGAATTCTGTGAGCTATCAGTGTGGCAAGATATGCCCATAGGTATAATAGTGGTACACTTGTTATAGGGGTAAACTGCTTTCTGATTGGATTTAAGGCCCATTACATAGGAGGAAATGAATTCTTGGTACTGTAAGTCTGCCCAAGAGCCCATGCTTGGGGAGCTGATAAGCGTCAGGTATTAACAAACCACTATTATTTTATTAAATGTACATAGTATCAAATAGCCCTCTGAATTTGTATTTCCTAGACTTGTATCTTAGTGCAGCTCTCAGAACTCATTGGAAAAGTTTCACTGTGCAATGAAAGGTGGTTAATGCAGAAACTCACAATTGGCCAAAGTACAGAAAATACGTGTTTGTGGAATGCTCAGTCACAAATGAGATCTGTATCACACCCCTTCCCCACAAAGCTCTGGGACCATGGGTGAAGAGGGGAAGGAAGGATTGTAAGACCCAGAAGTCATCAAGGACCAGTGTCTTCTAGACATGACACTACTAACAGCAGCTATGATTGCCTGCACAAGACCTGAACAAGATTAATCTAGTCGACATTGTAATGGAGGGGGAGTCTTTGGAGCCCCCATCTCTCATTGTGGAGCTACTGACATTTGATGGCTTCTGGGGAAGGAAGAGTCAGGTTTCTTCAAGGATGTGGCCTCTGGTGAGGTGACCACATTCCAGTGTATGTTCCTATATGCATGAATATTTGGACAAATCGAACTCTTTGGGTCACAAAAAAATAAATAAAAAAGGAACAGGATGTTTGGAGGGGAGGGGGTTGGAGGCAGATCTGGGAACAGTTACAGGGAAGTATGTTCAAAATACATTTTACTCATGTATGAAATTCTCAAAGAATTAATAAAAAGATTGTTTTTTAAAAAGTGGATGGGGGCTGGAGAACTGGCTCAGGGGTTAACAGTGCTTGTTGCTCTTGAGGAGACCTGAATTCAGTTCTCAGCCCCACATCAGGTGGCTCACAACTCCCTGTAACTTCAGCTCCAAGGGATCTGACATCCTTTTCTGGCTTCTGGAGGTACCCATATACATGTGGCATACACTCACATACATGTACACATATACACATAAAGTGAAAATAATAAAGATCAGTCTTTGAAAAGGATACAGAAAAGCAATATAAACAGATGTATGGCAAAAGATGACAGATAGAAACAGAGAAAGTGAGACGGGAAGGTAAGGAGTTAGAGGACGGAAGAGAGAGAAAAGTCAGACACACACACAGAAAGAGAGAGGACAGAGGCAGAAACACAGAGAGAATATCCCAGAGGAGACATTATGCTCAGCTAGTTCTTCATTAAAACCCAACTAGGGGGCTGGAGAGATGACTTCGCTGCTCTTGCCTAGGACCCGGGTTCCATTCCCAGAACCCACATGGTGGCTAACAACCATCTACAACTCCAGTTCCAGTTCATCATTGCCTCTTACTGAGAAAACCCAATGCTATTGCTGCCCTAATCACTCTGAAGTAATCACTACACAGGTGCACTTACATACATGCAGACAATATACTAGTACACATAAAATAAAAATAATAAAATACTTTCAAAACCCACCTAGATAACAACTTGATTTCTACTGTGTCTGTTCTGATCACCTTCCTTCTTCTGCCCCTGCGTTCTTCTCGTTTTCTCATCCTCCTCCTTTCTCCCTCCTCTCTTTTTTGTTCAAAGTCACAAAGTGAATATTTTTTGAAACCTTCCACAGGTTTCTCTCTGCACACAGGAGAGCTGATTCAGCCAGAACCCAGTGACCCCCAGCTTAGTCAGAATGACACAAGGCCTAGTGGGGCTCACTCAGGACACGGGCACACAGCTTTCCCAGGCAGCAAATAAACAGACCCTAGCTCCAGTGGTCACAGTGCTGGCACATGGCTGTACACAGACATTTGGAGCATGCAGTCTCGTGATGAGAAAAGGAGAGGCCTTTGGAATCTGCCAGCACTGTCGGCTGATTTTGAGTTATCTGGAACCTGGGGCCCCATGGACCCTGCATACCAGCAAAAGGCTCTGAAAAGGACAGGTACCTTTGGTCCTGACTCAGTCACACCCATTAGGTTTCTCCCAAGGCTTTAATAAAACCACCCTGCTTATTACCCATGTCCTTTAATTTTGTCCAACTGATGGTTGGATTCAAACATGGTCCGATTCCATGGCTTTAGAGATATTAAGCCTAATGTGAGTCCAAGCCTTCTACCCGTTAATGGGGTGACTTTAAATACTTTCCTTCTCCTTTCTGAATCTTGAAAAGAAAGGGGTACCTGTCCTTCCAGCATTTGGCAGATGCTGAATAAAGATTTGTCACATTAATGAGAGAATGAGCAATCAATGGATTGTGCAGATGATTTTCAGTTATCTCTATTCTTCCTCTTACCCACTCGGCCTTGGAACATAGGTAACTCCTGAAAGTCTGACTCAGTTAAACACACCACACTGATCACAGAAAACCTGCTTTTTTTGTTGTTGTCTGCCTAATGACCTTATTCACTCATGAATATTGCGCTCTCTAAATTCCTACTATCTCCCATCCCTCAGATGTAAATATTGGCTCCTGTCCTGTCTCCCTTGTCAAGTTTTGGCATGGCTCAAATATGAGTAGAAGTGACAGTATATGATGACCTGGAGAGACTGGTCATACACGGAAGTGTCTCCCATGTGCTGTGTAAGTGTCAGAAACATGTGAGAGCCCTCCCAGTGCTGGCAGGCTGTCGCCAGGCACGACACTCTCCTGCCAGCATCGCCATTTCTCTGTGCATAGAATAGGTGCTTTGCCTGGGCATAGGAGGCCCTTGCTCTTTTGAGAGAGGCATAGAGAAGCGTCAGCAGAAAACCTGCAGAGGTTGGCAAATGTGCTTGAGCCATCAGCAAGTCCAGGGTCCTGTGTGTGTTAGAATGGAAAAGTTCCCTGCGAATCTGGGAAAAACAGGAAAGTGGATGTTGACTGTTTTTCTGACTTCAAAGTAGTTCTTTCACGTTCCACATGAAACACAAGCCACCCTTGAGTTTTATGTTACAGGTTGGGATTGCTGGTTATAGTCAACAGCCAGGGTAGACCCTAAGGAGAACTTGGGCAGAAGAATCTCTTTCTTCCTGATTCTAAGGAATAGTATCCACTGCCTGATGTGTCTTTCTTTCCCCAATCCAAACTCTGAGGTCAAAATTATTCTTATTCTCTCTTTCATTCTCTCTTTCATTCTCTCTTCTCTCTCTCTGAAGCTTGGGTCTGAACACAGAGTCACAACCTTTCACTAGCTAGACCAGCTCTTTACTCTTGAGCCCTCTTTTTTTATTTTTTATTTTGAGACACGATCTCAACTAAGTTACTCAAGGTGGCCCTGAATTCACTCCGTAGCCCAGGCAGGACTTGAACTTGAAATCTTCCTGCTTTGCCTCCTAAATAGCTGAGATTAAAGGTCTGAATCATAAGACCCTGTTGATTTTATTCATTTGTAAATAAAGTAAAAGTAATAAATATTAAAAGAATGAATGAAAATATAAGAAAAATATAAATAATAAATTTAAAGTAATTTTATTACTTTTAACTGATTTAAATTTAAATAGCATGTAACCAGGAACTACTGAATTAGATAACACAGCTCTAACCCACACTACTACACACAGCACAACAGTCATTTGTATATAGTACATGTTAACCAGTTTAAACTCTGAGCTCTTTGAAAAGACAGAACTTGAGGCCTTCTTCATGGTCAATGATAAGCATTTGGTAAGTGGGTTTTGTAATAGACCAAGCTGGCATATAGTCCCTTTGATTACTTTAACAATAGGCTTCCCCTGGTCACAAGTCTGCTTCATAGACTGGAAAATTGTCACAAACCCCTATAGACTTAAGTATCTCATCTATAAAATGGGAAAGTCAGAATCAGCTCTCAACTGGACATCTGCCCAGCAGTGTCTTACCTGTGTGGAGAGTCAGGATCAAAGCATGTCTTAGTGACATCTGTGATATCTGGGTCACAACACTCTCCACCATCGAAGTTAAACCGTTCATAGTTGCAATCCATGTCACACGCACCATTCTGCTGCTTCTTGGTGAAGGAGGAGTAGCGGAGGTGCCGGCAGTCCCCACCATCATGGCCTGTCAGTGTATGGTTGCACTCGGGGTCACAGTTCTCATCCCCAATCTTGCTGATGTCACAGTTGGCCAAAATGAGGCGGTGTCTCAGTGAGGAGTTACTCACCTCCAGCACCTCCAGCTCCCAGGAGATGTTGTAATGCTTGAAGGCCTCATCCAGCTGCTGGTGCTGAAAGTCAATCTGCTGACGACTCACTGTTGGGTTTTCATGGTTATCATCATAGATGTTGACCACACGATAGCGTACCACCTTGAGCCGGCGGAAACTTGGAAGCTGGTTGTAGCTGGTGATGACCTCTCTGTTGTCACACAGCGTCTGCCCACAGAGAGGAGGCTCCAAATTCGTGTCCAGTAGGAAGCCGTGGGCATTGCTGAGTTCTACCTGGGGGATCTTGCCATCCTTCATGGGGGACCAAGTGCGCTTCACATTGTCCCAGTTCTCCTGGAGGAGGAGCTGAGGTAGAGGGTTGTGGAGGCCACGGGTTTCCATGTCGGACAGTATCTCCCTCTGTGTCCTGGCCACATTCCACAGACTGAAGTGTTCAATGTGGCCCCGGTAGTTATGATTCAGAGCACTGCCACCCAACATGAGCACTTTACACTTCTGGGTCAGTGGGCTGAATATGCCACCTACTTGCTCCCCAGAGGTCGCCACCTGGGCACCATTCACATAGAGCTTCATCAGCCGCCCATCATAGGTGGCAGCTAGATATATCCACTGGCCTGGGAGGTAGCTGCGGTGGGCATCAATGGTTGTCACTTTCCTGGCCCGGTCTGTCTTCAAGGAGAAAAAGTAGCGTGGATCTCTGTTGCCTTGATCACTGACGGTGTGAATGCCCACGACCCATCCTCGGTCACGCGAGGTATAAGAACATTTGTCATACAGCCCTATGTGGCCCCAAAAGAGAAAGAGGAATAAATAAAGCATGGAAGTGTATGGGATAAGTTATTTTTCTCTGACAAAATTTATATCAGGATATCCTAAGTTAGTAGTTTTCAAGTATCTCTGTGAGACCCTGACTGTTACTAGTGGTGCCTCTGGGACCACCCCAATAACAAGGTGAGAGCTAGAGGAACTAACAGGTCAAGTGAGGTGGATTTGGTGACACTTCATGACACCTTGAATCCATGACGTTTCACTTTTGTTGGCTTTGAATACAGAGCATGCACAAAAGCTTTTGTTAGAATGGGTATTTCACTGAAAAAATGTAAAGACAATGGTGATAATAATAAAATCCCTAAAGTTATTGGAATTGCAAAGGTATTGCATGGGAAAGTACACTTTCTAATTAAGAAGTTATTTAAAGTGTAGAATAATATGTAAAGTAAAAAGAAAAACAATGGGAGATGAATGGAATGGAAGATGTTCATTTAGGACAGTCCCTAAGACTGTCACTATAACACCATGAGCAGTCACTGAATTGTGGGAAAAGCTGGCCTAGTAAAGTGAGTGTCGAGAGCTGAGAAGCTAGTGCTTCTCCGTCTTTTAGGAGTTTTTGCTAACCTTGACATGAATTTCCAAGAAAGGCAGATACTTAGCAGATGATCTGCAAAGGTTTGTGAAGATAATCATCCCAGCTGCTCTAACACTATCTAAGGTGAGGAAGTTGAGACACAGGGAATGAAAGGCATTTCTAGGGTTAAACAGCATCATGGACAAATCTCCTGAAAACCAATTCAGCTGAGTTTATCTAAAAGTTCTCTCTCTATACACACACATATGTCCTCTTAATATAAAAAGATGCTAAAGATATCTAGACAACAGTAATAAAGAACAATTCCACTAGGCCTCTACGGCAGGTCAGGCACCATGATAAGGTCTTTGTAGGCATTAGTTCACTGAATACTTGCAATGTTCTTATGACAATGATTTTAAGTACTTCATTAAAATAATGATAGATATGGAAATTAAAGGAACTGAAAAGACAAGTCCAAGATCATCTGGTTGATAAGTGGATCTGAGATCTATATAACTCTTGTCCTGTGGGCAAATTGCAAAATACCCCCTATTATTACCAATCACTAATGTGAATTTTGTTCACACCACAAACTAGGGTTGGGTAGACAGTAGTTATCACACATTTTAGTTAGGGGTTTGAGGAGGTTGTAGGATAGACATCCATCTCTAGAGATTCTCTGAAAATTCCAACAAAGTAGCTTAGCAAATTCTCTGTGAATTTGATCATCTTTATACTCACCCTATCGCCCATCCTCTCTCAAAATACACAGTGTACCTTGGCACAGGAAATTCTTCTAGATGGTGAAGAGGATTTTCTAATTACAAGTACATTTTAAGTGTCGGATGCTGTTTGAAGCCAGGTGGGAGGAGAAAGAAAGGATGATGAGAATAAATAAAAGATGCTTATGTGAAAGGATAGTCCCTACTCTCACTGGAGCATCAATGCGGTCACCGTAACTCTGAGTGTCCAGCTGCCATTAGTGCTTGTCAAATGAACATGGAGAGTGTCCAGCAAAATCAATAGAGGAGGCCCACATAGTCCTTCCTCTTTTGTGGGCACTGGGACCTTAGCATCCGGATAAATCTTTCCCTTAGCATCTAACATAGCCAGAACTTTGGCAGAGGATCTAAGCCTACCTACTTCTTTCTTCCCATTCCCTGTTCAATGTATTTCATGCAATGACCAGAGTTTCCCAACATAGCCATTCTACTTCTATAGTCTGGTAACCTTGGCAGAGTCCCAAGTAGCACTTCTAGGTCTTATTTGAATGAGGTTTCTCATCACGTAGTCTATATCTGATTTTCTTTATTCCAGGATCCCCAGTGATTAACATACAAATCACTTCTTCCAAGAAGCTCTCGCTGATAGCTCTGAGAACAGGACCATTCTCTCCTCTAAGCTCATTTTCCTTTTAGGAAATTTGACATTGGCTCTCTGTTTCTGAAGTTACCTATGTCTACGCCACTGTTTCCTCTTCACTAGAATAGATGGTTCTTGAGAGTAATGATCATGTACAGTCAGTCGTCTTTTTGAAATCTGCTTAGCACCTTTCTACACAAGGAACTCATTATGTGTCCTATGAATGAGCACAGACATGCAATGATTTGAAACAGAGGGGGAAAAGAGGCAAGGCAGTGGCCTTAAGATAAACAGAATTAAAGGCACTAATTTATGTCTCAGTGGCTAAAGGACAGAAAATCAGAGGACAGAGTGTCTTTCTGCTGGGAAGGAGAGCAAAATTTTTGGACCCAGGATAATCTGTTTTGACTCTTGACAGCAATTACAAGCCATATGTCTTGGACAAGACCATGTCACCTTTGTGGACCTTGATTCTCTCATCTGTATCTCTCTTTGAATATGGTGTCATACTTAAAAAACATAATGAGTATAACCTCTTTGACCTACACTGGCTATCCAAACAAGAGTTCACTTTTAAGATGCTGGAAGATCTGGGATTAAATTAAAGATGAAAAACTATAAAATGCCAGGAAACAAAACACAGAAAGTCCATAGAAGTAAGTACCTTGAAAACATCTTGCCTGATGTATTAAAACCCATGATGAAGGCTTAAAAAACCCCCACGAGTCCAATTCAAACTCACTGGTAAATGCTATTTAGAAATGCCAAATCTTCATTGAGTTAGACAATATTAAAAGACTTACCTATTGAAAATGATTTCCCACTACCCCATATCTAGAGGTCTTTCTCCCCCTTTCCCCTGTGGTCCCTTTCTACTTATATATCTATAAAGCATAAGAATTACAACAATAACCAGCCTGGTAATATATCCCCAGTGGTGCAATAGTGGCACTTTTATCTTGGGGATAACCAACAGCTGTCTAATTGGACTTAAGGCCTGCTCAATAGGAGGGAATCCACGCCTGTTCTTGTAAACCTATCCAAAGATTCATGACTGGAGAGGTCATAGACCTGAGAGAAGCTACTCCTGCCACTTTCCTAAACCAATATATCTTCTAACTATTCTAAGAGTTTATTCTTGTATCCACAGGTGAATGTAGCTCTTACCCCTTATCAAAGAAGCTTCTTTTTCCAACAGATGCACACTATTAGAGATCCAAAACTGGCCAAAACACAAAGAGTAAGTGACCCTGGGGTGCCTATGCCAGGTTGATACATTTGCATTTGACATGCCAACATGGAAAGGGGACAGTTCTTAAGTGCTCATACCTATAAGACGACTATATAGGCAATCAATGGCTGCTGAGAAAGGGAGACTCAGTTTTGTACAGGGACAAGCTCCCTGGTAGGTTATCCAGTCCCAAATGGTCATCCCTGAATTCATGTACATAAGATTAACACTAAATTGACTTAGTAGAATACATATACATATATAGTATATAAATATATATATTATATAATAGTTAAGAAGAGGTCATGAATTTGAAAGGGAATTGAAGGGGGCACAGGAGGAGTTGGAGGGGGTGAGACAAGAGTGGAAATGACGTAAATATAGTATTCATGTATGAAAATCTAAAAAAAATTTCTAAAGTTACTTCTCCACTGACTCCCTCCAAAGCGTAAGAGTTGCCTTCACACTTGGAATGAGCTGCCCCAGTGCTTACTGGTTGCTGTCCAATGTGGATCTCAGTGTGATCATTGGTTCCTAAACCTTCCAGTTTTCCCCCCTCACCTCTTTGCTCAATGACCACTCTTCCTTTCCTAACTCCTCACTTATTTTAATTCATTTTTATTTTAATTTTATGTGTATGAGCGTATTGCCTACAAGTGTGTAAGTGTGCCACGGCATGCAATGCCTGTGGAGGTCAGAAGAGGGTGTTTGATTCTCCTGGAATTGGAGTTATGGATGGTTATGTGGGTGCTAGATTGAACCTGGGTCCTCTTCAAGAGCAGCCAGTGCCCTTAATCACCGAGCCACCTCTCCAGTCCCCTCACTTGTTATTCTATCAAAAGAAACTCTATCTCTGTCTCTCTCTCCCTCTCTCTCCCCCCCCACACACACTTCTTTCCCCCTTTCATTTTGACAGGAGCATCTGGTCTCTGGTTTTAGAGTTGCCTTTGGAAAGCAGCTGGCCTTATTTTGAAGGTAAACTACACATCTGTATAGGGTCCTCATTTCAGAAACTTCCTGGGGCCTGGGACCCTGGCTCAGGCCACCTCAGTTTGTAACTCAGTGAAAAGAAGGAAGGAAGAAGAAAGACTTAGCTGCCACATGCAGCTAAGAAGTAAGAGGTGGCTTACCCTAGAGGTGGACAGGAAGGGCAAAGAGGGCTTTTCAGCAGCACTAAGAGGAAAGAATGAAAGGAGATGAAAACCTTGAAGCAAAAGCCATAGAGGTTTAGCGGGAAATATTTACCTGGAATATAAGTGGTGAAAGGAAGTCACTGCGCTTCCTAGAGATGGAGGAGTGTTATGGGGATGGGGCCATTTTTGTATGAGAGTAAGTCAATTGGAATCACATTCCAGGACACTGGAAGGAAAGCACTCATGTACTACCAGTCCAGAGCCGAGACTTGGCACCAGAAACCTAGGCTTGGTGTGCCAGGTAACTTTGCCTAGGACAAGTCATACCACCATCACACCCCCTCTATACTGCTGGGGCTTGTTTCCCTTTGCTGTAAAAGGAGGGGCTCAGATGAAATGATCCTCTGCTAGACTTTAAGAGCCTTTTGTTCACTGTTAGAATGGCTCCTTGTATGTAGACAGTGTTGAAAAATATGTGTTGATTTGAACTGGATGCCTTATGTCATTCTCAATTCTTACATGCTTAGATGCCCTCTCCGCTGTGTCACTCTGTACAGGGCATAGAACAATGTTGCCTGAAGAACACAAGAATCCTTGCATAATACCACACTGTTCTTCCTCACACTTGTACAGCAACATAGAGACATCATTAAAAAAATGGTAACAGTCAATCTGAAGTCAGCCATCTGTGTGGAACTAGAGAAT